AATAATACAATCCTTTTAAGACACATGCATCCTGGATTCCTCTGCTAGCCACAACCAATTAAATGACGATAAATTAATATTCAGGTAATATTGAGGTATCTACATAAAACCCATTTATCAATCGATGTCGAACAATTCGATTCAGTATAACAACAGTGAATTACAAGTATATTAATAAATAGTAACAATCCTAGCGTGTTTAGAAAAGCAAAACTGAACGTTTTGCTGTGCATATCACACCACAGTTAGCACATCTTTAGTAGAAATGCAGATATTCTATTGAGGAATCTGTGATGTAAACAATGAAGCGTTCAGATAACTCTTGTTATGACCTTCGAAACACATTAAGATTATAGTAAAACTTACTTTTCTAATGATTACTGACTTTTCAACCCAAAAATCAATACAAGTTTGGTGATAAAATCGTATCATTTTTGAGATGAATGGGGATTTTTAATTTAGAGGTAGTATTCATCGTGGACTGATATCAGTTGGGGAACCATTGAAAGTTTGGAAGCCCTAGACAACTTGTCCCTACTAGTATGGGACTCCTCAGCAGAACGTACCCACGACCTGGCTACGGGTCGAACTCAGGGCCTTCAGATTTCACGGCGAACGCATTAACCATTCAGCCACTGGGTTGGTTTACAATTACCACTTTCTGTCAATTCACGATACAGCGCGACTATCACCCAGGGTCTTCAGTCAGCATCCACTTCACTTCCGACTGGTTGACCTCACAGGTCACGACTTCTCATTAGAGCTTCGTGAAATCCGTCTGGAAGCAAGTCACGAACGAGCACTTTACAGTAATGTATTTTTGAGATGATTGGGGATTTTTAATTTAGAGGTAGTATTCATCATAGACTGATATCAGTTGGGGAACTAGTGAACATCTGCGCCACTGGATAGCTGTTTCGTCTTAGTATGGGATTCCTCAGCTGTACAGATCCACAACCTGGCTAGGGATCTAACTCAGGACCTTCAGATTCCATGGTGAACGCGTTAACCATTCAACCAATACTAACTCCAAGATCGGACCAATCTTGTTTCGTGGTTAAAGTTTAGTGAATCAATATATCTAACAGACTTTTCGTTATTTGCTGTTATGTAAGTACTTTCAAGCAAAAGAAGTATAACATGTCATCAATTCGCTTAGGTTTTTTTAACTTGGCGCAATAAAAACTCCAGTTAAATGCTTCAATAGATAACTAATGAAGATATCTTAATATATTGAACTATAATCACTTTTAACCAAGTATTCTTAAATGCTTACAAATTTAATTTACTTGAAACTTGCTTTGTTGCATATTATTCATACTATTGTTTTTGTCTTAAATTTCTTAACCAACTATTATATCAAGACATCTAAGCCAACAATGTTGTTTTCAATAAGATAGATCTCATCAGCCTTTACTCTAATATATATAACTTCCAACATATTTATAGAATATCAATCGACGTAATTTGTGGGTGGCTTTAAAGGCCACCTTAGCAACTGATGAGACAGACAATTACATCCCTCTATTTAATGACAAAGTACTTTTCCAGGCGAAGCCTGATTTGTGTATTCAACACTTGCTATGGTAGCCTTTAAAGTCTCTCTAATTTGTGGGAAAACGAGAACAAGGGATACAGATTGGCCCTGGCCAAAGCAGTGATAAAGGCTATACAAATTTTGTCTGGATGCAGAGCTTCGGATTGTTTATTATAATTTTCATAGCCTCAGGTTGATTTAAACTCAGTTGGAAATGTTTAGTGGTGTGCAGTAAATCACTTTGAACGCTTTCATCTTATCTACTCCGTGATCATTATCAACTAAATGTGACAAAAGAGAGTTTCCTATAGATTTAACCTGTCCTTTACCCAGCCACAAAGGTGTTATTATTACCATAACTATCTTTCCCTTGGCTTCCCAGAGGAACATAGGGATCCGGTAGCACGCCTTCATTCCACTCTCTTCTCTGTAGTCTTTTCAACCTAGCACCACGACTGCCCACAAGCTTCCATTTCTTCCCCACATACAATCTCCTCCATGTCACACTTGGACGCTTAACTTGTCGTCTGGCCTGGTACGTGATGTCTCCAGTCGGCCTTCTTACTGTATGCTCAACCCATTTCCATCTCGACTTTCTTCTGCGTACTTGTTGGGTGGTAACTTCTTGGTTAGTTCGTTACCAGAGTTCCTTGTTGCTTATTCTTTCTTGCCTTCTCATCTGATCTGATCTTCAGTGTCAAGTGAGTGTAGTTAGTAGCCGTTGATGAATGTCTGTATTTTGTTGGAAGAGCTTTTTGTGACGCATCAAGCTTCTGAACCACATAACAGCACTGGCTTGACATTGGTGTTAAAAATCTGGATCTTCTTCTTCATACGAAGTGGAGCAGATATCCACATTAATTTCAGATGAGTGAAAGCCTGTCATGCTTTTCGGATCCTGGTCTTGACATCCTCGTCTGTGGCACCTGTAGTTGAAACGATGCTGCTAATGTGGGTAGGTGAAAGAGACAACTTCCTTTAAGTTTCTCTTGTTAATGGTGATTGGAGCTTGTTGTTGGTTGGGCATCTTCATCATCTCCGTGTTTTCTACATTCACTTGAAGTCCCGCCACGAAGGTAGGTGCTCGGTAATACGTTAAGTAAAGTTGCCTAGTCATGCGTCCGATATAACTGTCTCCATAGAAACAATTTAACTTGGAAATACATATGAAAATGGCGAAACTAGATAACTCGTCCTTCGTCTGACACGAAACAAATGGTCGACTAGAAAACGACAGACAAATATCAGCTGCATAAGTTATTCTAATGGTTCTTTACAGTCTGTAGAATAGAATCTCATCAAATATATCACGATTAAATTTAAGCTTTATAAATAGTGGTTTCCTTAGTGTGGTCGCTGCTTCAGGTCTTCTCATTGGTCTACTGATATGCTTTTTTCATAAAATTGTGAGGATAACCTATTTCAACTCACTTTGTAGAATCTTATCTGAGCGGATTTTCCTTGCTCTGGCTGTCAAATATTTCACTAAATCTCTTTTGCATCGTTCGGGGATGAAACTAAGGAAGTGTGTGTATTGATATGCAGATTTGTTTCTTCTGTGCATACCACTGTGAATTGATTCATCTCCTTGTCTACTTAATCTACTGTCCTGTTTTTCTTCACAAGTGAAGGCAAGTGACGGGTATATACTATACAGCTCTACGACTTCTAATTAAAAATAATATTGTTCATTTACGTGTCTGGTTATAAATGTCATAAAAGGAATTTTTAACTACTATGTTACACAAACTTAGTTTAAACCCATTGTTAATCACTGAAATTGTGTTGCCCAAAATACATTTAAGACTCTGATAATTCATAGACGATTATATAGTGAGACTGAGAACATTGTTTTAACCTGTAATACATACATGAAAATGTATATTTTAATTATTTCCCTAAAAAGGTACAGACCAGACTTCTGAGTGAAACCTTAGGATTTCTTATATCAAACATAGTGAGATTTATACAAAGGTATTTTATTTTTACTGTCAGCTTTTCACTCGACTCCTGATATATTTGTGAAAATATCTCATCAAATTCTCCTCGAGATTCAGATATAAAATACCTTTACATGTTTCTAATTTATTTATTTACCCTAACGATAAAAATATACGCGAGTATTATAAAAAAGAATCACCATCGTGATGCATCAAAAATAAACCTTCAGATAAACAACGATTTCAGAGAGAAAAAACAATTTTATAACTTATTAAAATAAATATGATTGTACCGATTTCTTTCGCTGAACTATTTGTCTTATGGTTGAATTCGTTTAACTAGTAAATTGTTTATTCTGAACACCTTTTATGTGACTCCTAAAGTCGATGCAAATTTACGCTCATTATTTGTAGTAATTACATGTTCAACTGATTGAAACAGTCCCTAGTCATTCTCGTTCTCTTTCTTGTCTACACATAGATACGGTGTTTTAGCAACCTACATGCTTCAGTTTGGAAGCAGTAGCCTTGTTCTGCCAACTTGTTAGTTTTCGTCTGTAGATCTTACAGTTTGTACGACAAAACATTAGATATAAATCATCATGGACGAAATCCAAATCTTCATTGGTCAAATAGAGTATGCCTATCGTCTCACTCTTCACAGTTTGCAGCATGATTCAGTCAAGTCCGGTCGGGTTGACCTCAATCAGGAAGATGATGAATGATAGTAGGCAACAACCTCATCTGACTCCTGTCCAAATTTCAAAGGCGTCACTCAGCTTACCATTGTGAATCACTTAGCATGTAGCATCATATAGCATATAGATGCTGTTGAGTGAGTTTGATAAAAGTTTATGACAATTCATGATGTTGAAGCAGTTGTCAAACTGCTTCTCGATCGACGCTATTGAAGTCCTTTTCAAAGATGATGAAGTTGAGGTAAAGAATTGACTTCCTGTGTACATACTGAAACAAGTTTTTTGTATACACTTTACCTACCTTGATAAATTTTGTTTTCCTACCAAGATTACGATCAACTATGTCAATCTTCCTTTCTGTTCTCATCTTTCCTAATTTCAATTCCCTGTTTATCTTAATCGTCCAAATTGTCCTCGCATTCAATCTTCAGTTTTTTATAAATCGACTTGATAAATAAATATATGATCAGGTTGTTTGAAATGTACTGAACAAATATATCACATTGTCCAGATAAACTTTACCTTCTAGTTACATTATATAACTGTCTGAAAACTTTAAACTGTTTCAATAAAAATTTTAGATCATATATTGTTCTTTTTTCAACATTTATCTAACTGTTAACTCTATCAAGGCCAAATATTAACTTATCCTGTTTGCAGGTGTAGCTGTGAGTAAACACATGTTGGATTCATTGTTGAAACCTATTTCAGTTCTCTTGAATAATACAAATCTTGTCATTACAGTAATAGACAATAAATATAGTATTCAAGATCTTTCATAATTATTTACTTTTCCTCACTAACATATATGTATGTTTATTCCAGGTCAAGTAGGAAATATTATCACAACAAGAAACGCTGATCGCATCGAATTTGAAAAAATACTGGTAAGTATTATATATAAACAGTTGAAAATATCTAATAAACTCACTTGAGTACATAATTCAATGAAATAAAAACCAGTATGAAAAGCCATGACCTATGGGTTCAAACAGTTGGAAGGAAAAGGGATACCAAGTGAAGACCCTGTGTGATAGTTAGAACCTTTGAACAATTCACCTGATATTCATTGACTGGATGATTACCACATTCGCTGTAAAACCTGAAGATCCTGAGTTCAATCTGTGAGGAGTCCTATACATGAACGAAACAGCTGTTCAGTGCTTACAGATCTTCAATGATTTCTTTTCAACTGGTATCATTCCGTGGCCAATAAAAACAATTTGTAGTTAATTTGATTCTCTTTTGAAGGGGAAAATAAAGAAAAGTAATTGTTCCTCACCGATTTTACGAAACAGCATAAACAGAAGGTAAATTTCAAAATCACCAACATTTTTATTTCACTGTGACTACTTCAATTTTCTGTGGAGCATCTAAGCTTCTTACTGGTTATCTTTACTTTGACGCCTTTTATATCGTTATCTAATATGAACCTACGTTTTCGGCTTTTTAACACTTGTCAGTAAACTTCGACAAAACAATAAGAAGACGTAAATTGTCTGAACCGTGTAATGTATTTGCGCAACACATTTCGAACTTTAAGAACAAGATATTCAGCGAAGAGACTCTTTTCAACGAATTTATTTTCAAGCTGTACAATCGTATATATATATGATATTTGGAAAAAATTATATCCTGTGAGGAAAACTAAACACTATATGGTGATGACAATAATAATAGAGCGGATGATGACATAGGCATTTGTGATTATAATAACAATTGAAGTGCAAATGATAACAAATAGATTATGTAATATATGGAATGGTACATAGAGAGTATATAACTCAGAAGGGGGTGAAAAAATTGTTGAAAATGGTAAATCAATTAAGTATTATGTAATGGCATTAGATAAATTGGAAAAGATGAAGTCAATGCTTTCTAAAAGGATTAAGACAATTAAGTGAAACAACACCGGAAACTAATTAAAGTGAAAGCGATTATAGTAACAATAGTGATAAAGGAAGGATACACAAGGGTTAAATTAACAAAGTGGGAGGAGGTGCTAATGGGGTGGGAAAATGTTATGGCCATGATAAAAACAGTGACTGCACATACTTCTTTTGTACACACAGATCAGGTCTTAGTTCATGAAAAGCTAAAGCCTCCGCTGTTTTAAGGAGTTGAAAACGAAGAGAACGTGGGAGGTTTGGGAGAATTTGATAAATAATTTCAAAGTTATTGTCTGGATTTGTTGTGTGATGGAAGTCAATCAAATGTTCTAGAATCGAACTTCTAACAGACTTTCTTTCACCTTTATAAAACCAAGCAGGAACATGTTCTCATATACGTGTAGAAAGCATTCTCTGGCTACGGCCGATGTACCTTGCTCCACAAGAGCAGGTGAACTGGTAGATGCACATAGAGGCGGCCAAACGAGGAAGCTTGTCTTTGACGCAGGTGGAGAATAGGTTGCGGCTGTAAAAGTCAACTGGAGTCTTGCTGCGAAGAAAGTCCTATTGATTGATCTGGTAAGACGATTCTTCAGTACATCCGATGCTAGGTCTCCTTTAAACTTTAGGCTCATAAACAATCTTTTCTTTGGGACCGAGTGGATGACTGGTTTAGTGTTTCCTTCCCGCATATTTTTATCAATAAAACGGCTAGGGTAACCGTTTTCGACAAGTATGCTTTTTAGGAAAGATAGCTCTTCGTTGATACAATCGTCACTACAGATACTTCTTATTCGATAGCAAAGAGAGTGAATAAGATTTCTTTTTCTGTTGATGGGCACCCAACTATAAAAATTAGTTAGTTGCCCGTTCCACGTTGGTTTTCTGTAGATGGATCTTTTTCGAACTATCTGATCACACACGTACTTTTCATAGGTATTTATATAAAAACTCATGAAGATAAGGGGTGATAAAAAATAAAAAGGGGTCAGGTAGGAAGGCTGACTTAAAGGCCGAATAACAATGAAAATCAATAGAGCGAAAAAATAATAGTACATCGAACTTGGTTTTTCAATAGTTGAATTTACCAAGGAAGGTTTAATGTGACAACAAATTGTTTATGAATACATAAAGGTGGTTTCAACTTCCTAAAAGCTAAGGCTTCAACAAATTTCAGGATCCCTCCCCAACATGTTTTGTAAATAGGTGTAAAGGAAGTAGCCACATCAATCTTGTGACCTGTCTCAACGATATGTTTAGCGACCGAAGAACTTGGACGTCTGCTACCAACATTTATAGGTTCAAGTGATTTAATTTGCTTCTGAAGCCACTTTGGATTATGTTCCGAGGCCCTTACTTGCATGGATCTATTAGTCCTCCCTACGTATGTGTCACCACACGTACATTTGAATTGGTAGATACAGTGGGATGTGACATTATCGTTCACATGCTGTGGGGGTTTGGGGGAATATAAGGGCTTCGTGGTTTCAGTAAGGCGTATTTGAAGGTACGTGGAGACTAGAGTTCCTTCGAATATCTGAACTTGCATCATCCACTCCTGAAGCTGGACACTTCACCTAGAAGGTATTCAAGTCAGATGGATACTATATTGATCACAAGATATCATTCAGTTCTGAACATTTTAAACTAGACGGTTAACCAGATAACAAACTGGTGATAAAGTTGTGTACAGTTAATTATGTTATTAAACATCACACTTAATCAAATGTCACCTGTAGGTGTTTTTACATCATACAATAAAGGGGAATATTAGGCGACAGTTGTAGAGAGATGACTGTAAGATCAACTATTTTTGAAATTCTGGTTGGAATCTGTATGCGGAAATAAATTGGAATGTGTGTAAGCGATTCACTGGAACCGCTATGGAATCGATTTCTTTCATTCCATCTTGTCAGTTAGCAAGTTTTCACGTCTTTCTCATTTAAATTCAGGGAGTACATTTCGCTGGTTGTGTATTGTCATACAATTCGGAAGAAAATGTTATTTTTCTGATATTCGATCAAAAATACACTAAAACCTAATGTTTTTAATAACTTAATTTTGAAAAAAGATGTAAAATGATATTTGTCACCATGTAGATAATCTGTTGAGGTCGTTTTTTTCTTGTAAGCCACTTAGGCACATGTCCAACTTTGTCTTCTCCACAATGATGACTTTGGCTTCAGAATACATTTTGCAGACGGCTGATCTAAGCTTCTTTTCACAATAAATGCAATGTAAATACTTTTCTCACTTTGTCATGCTTCTTACTTACAAGTGACTTTGTGGTGACTAAAGCATGTGTTCCTTCTTGTATATCTATACAAGTGTAGCGTATTGTTACATATTGAACTCCTAACCATATACCATGTTAGACGGCTGTGAGAAAAAATGCCATTCCTCATGTTGGAGAAAAGATCCTATTGCTCAGTAAAATGGAAGTATTTGTCTTGTTGGTTTCAGGTTTTATTAATCTGCGCATACCTGATGAGTTTATTTTTAAGTGATTGCAGCAGCACTTTGAAGTTTAGTTGCCTTATGGATAGCTAGTAACACAAACATATCATCGTTCTTACCTACCAACTATTTGTATCTGTGAATAAAGTATTTTACTACTTTGTGACACTTTACTACTTAGTTGTCGTTATCAGGAATGTTCAGAATTACCAAATCTGGACGAACTATCAGTCAGTATTGACTGTTCACCTAGCAAACATGTTTTGTTTGATTACATAACCATAATTTATCACTTCTCCTTTCTAACGTTTTAAAAGTCGGTCAAGTAGATGGTATCGTACAGTATATTTGAACATTTTCAATCTTTCATGAAAGTTGCGGTTAGATAATCAAATTATTACAAGATGCTTGATCAGCAATTGTTGTTAACGAAATCAGGTTTATATTTGATGCTATTGCCTTTTATTCTCCATCGTGGAATGAACTCAACTGATCGGCTACTACAGGCACATGCACTTTTGCGCGAATGCCTGCATATTAACCTCGATTAAGCTGTACCATCATAACCAAACTATCTTCATCGTGTAAGGAGTGACTGCCTTGACTCACTAACTTGGTAAATAAAAAAATCAGGCCTAATTCATTCTTCACTTTCTTGTAAACCATAGTGCCAAATGTGTATTAACATAACAATCTGTACCAGACTAGTCTCATATATGTATATATACACACATACATTCAATTTCAGGGGTTTGTGGGGACTTATTGATTTCAAGTTGGTATTCTTTGTGGACTCATATTAGTTGGAGGAAAATTGAAAACCTGGGAGCACTGAACAGTCATCTTCTAGTATTTGACACAAAACCCTCAGATTTCGTGAACAGCACGTTACCTCTGACCCCTTGTCAGAGTCATGGTTACGCACTACTGAGTCCTATACTAGGAAGAAACAGCTGTCCAGTACCCCCATGTTTCCAATGTTCTTCCACTTGATGTCAGTCCATGATGAATACCAACATGCATATATGCATACCAATAACTGCGTTATGTCGTTAAACCACTCTATAATAATAAATCTTGAAGCTTTAATATAAATGTTTTATTTAACATGAATAATGTTTCTGAAATGTACCAAAATTGGTAAGGTTTTCTAAGCTTCTCCCAAATAGTCCGCCATTGATGTTTGATAAGCACGTTATACAAAATCAGACGTTCGTTTAAAGAGATATAATTTTCTAGCATAAAATTTGAAATCATTAGACTTGCAAAATAGTCTGTTTGTCGCCTAGTAGCAGAGTCTATGATGTCCACTTCCTAATATTTGGGACTCGTCGGCTGGATTTACCTACACCCCAATGAGCGCTATCCAATTGGCCAATAGGGAACGAGTATCCACAGCTAAATAAGAATTGAAATACGGAAAAGTTCGTAAGGGTAGGCAAATAAGGTCACCTTCAAAAAGGTGAAAAATGCAACTCGGTAAATATTTCTTTTCCAACTTTTATAGACTTCATTCAAGTTTAATTGAGCTTCATTTAACA